TATTTATTATTAAAATTCTCAATATTTATATAACCTATGATTTAACAGGTTGTACTTCATAAACAAACATACCATTCATTCACTAATCATTACACATCGAGATTCTGGTAGTAAGAAAAAAAAAAAAAAAAAAAAAAAAAAAAAAATCAAACATTAAATTACCATCATATTTTATCTGACAATATTTGAATTTGACATAAAAAAATTTTTTTTTTTTTTTAAATCCAGTTTCCATTGCTCTCTGAACAAAATGCACAAAGGTCCAATACTTTTTCTGTAATAAACTATGAGGAAATGTTGAAAAGAACAACCCAGAATGAATTCAAGAACAAATTCCTGTTTGGTCATTAAGTATGATTATAAAAAGTGTTATAGGGACTGTTATAGGGACTATTGTTGGAAATATTCATGTAAAAAAAAAACAAAAAAACTTATAACATTGGCGCATATGCAGGGGAGACAAAAGTAGAAGACACTTGCCATTCACGCCTTTGTTTTTATACCTCTTGATAGCAGACAAGCAAATTCTGATTGGCTAATGCAAGTCTCATTGCTATTATAAAAGAAAGATCTACCTGCTGATTATTAAGACATTTTCTGTTATCAAAATCTCATCATGGAGCAAATTATGCTGAGAGTCGTCCTGTTAACAGTTCGGGGTACCTGGCTGATCGGATCTGATGTTGCAATACCCAAAATCTCTAATGAAGCTAGGGTAGCATCACTGATGACCTCTACCGTCACATTTTATAAATGTATTTTAAGAATATTATAGAGATCATAGGGACTATTATAGGAAATACAGCAATTCCTCAAGGATGTTTCCAGAAAGAAGGAAAAAAAAAAAAAAAAAAAAAATCAACTTTTTTTTTTTTTTCACAATTTTAAATTTTTAAGATATTTCTTTTTACCAGTTTCAGTACTGAGTTTGTTGTACAGTGTTTCACTATAGAAATGCATTGGAAATGAATGGAAAAAAAAATGGTGGTAATCTCAGAGATGAAGAATTAAGCTGCATGTTACTGGGAGAATAAATCTATTATTAATTTTGTAGCAAGGTTTTTAATATATAAAAATATGTTGCAATTATTTTATTATAGAAATGCATTGCAAATGAAGAAATAAGTGGATTTTCAGGAATTTAACCTTCAGATAAGCGTTAGTAAAAACATAGTGATATAGATAATTATTAGTTTGTAGTAAGGGTAAAATAAGCGTTCTCAGCCTTGGCTAACAGCTAGTGTAGGAGACAAACAATATCTAATTTCAATTGAGGAATAGAGCTGCTAAGCTAGATCAGTAGTAAATTTTCTCTCCTTTGTTAACTGCTGCAACAGAAAAATGGCCACAGGTTGTGAGATATCATTATAGAAATGGATGAAATTTTAACTTAAAAAATAAAATGTAGGAGAAAGCATAGGTTGCTACACAAAAAAAAAAATTTTAAATTATTCTGCACCAGAATCAAGACTCAACCAAAAAGAAAAGAATGAATAACATTTTACAGAAATGCATTGCAAAATTATTTTACTATAGAAATGCATTATGGCACAACTCAAATTAACTGGTTTGGTTTGTTTTATTTTACAACATATCAACCTCAATATGTTATTTAATGCCAACAAAATTTTTATTGCTGGTAATATTTTTTCCCCAAAATATGTATTGCTGGTAATAATTTTTTCTTAAGAAATTTATTGCTGTTAATTTTTTTTTTTACAAAAACGTGTTGTTGGTATTAAAAACTATTTTTACATTTTCATAGTGTTATCACCCCAGTTTGGGGGTTAACTATTGCCCATAGCTGGGGCCCTAATAGGTGCTACCACCGCTAGTCAGGGTGGACCAGAAATCAAAAGGTGGTTCCACGCTCCTCAAGGCCTCCTGATCAGAGGCCATGTTGTTGAATGTAGTTTATTGTCTTACCCAGGATGGGAAAATAACTGGCCCACTAACAAAAAAAAAGAAGAAAGAAAAAAAAAAAAGAAAAAGAAAAAAAAAGAAAGAAAAAAAAAGAAAGGTGGTTTGGAGATGGGAGAAAAATTTTTTTGATGGGGAATAATTTTTGTAAATTAGCATTCATTAAACCCTCCCAAAGCAAAAAAAAAAAAAAAAAAAAAAAAAAAAAATCAGTTCATAACTAGTGTCAAATCAATTCCCAACTTCTTAAAAAGAGTTATCTGTACTTTGCTTTTATTTACAAATGTCAAGTTTGAAACTGTGGCCACAACATTGATAACTGTATGCTATTACAATCTGGGGGGAAAAAGAACAACACTAGTAGCACGCATTGATCTATGCCATAAACACGGTTCCAAGCTTGACATTTGTAAATAAAAACAAAGTACAGATAACTCTTCCAGAAGTTAAGCATTGTCATCTGACACTGGATTTATATTATGAACAGAACTTCCCCTTCTAAAATGATAAAAATTTAATGTTTTTTCATTTTGATTCTGACAAAATGCCATTGCTTGAGGAAGGCCAAATAAACACTACC